CACCAGAAAAGAGCAGGTGCTGGTGCTGGGGGTCTCTCTTCCCTCCAGGCCAACTCTGGAGGCATTACAAAAGGATGGCACAAAAATGAGAAGGAACTTGGAGGCCCCAGGGGGATGGAAGTGCTCTTTTGAGTTGAAGGAGTGGCCTGTTGTTGGTCTTACACCATGGCAGGAGGCCTCCGCAGTGCTAGGGGAAATGAGGATGGAATTCCTCTCTATTCATTGTCTTGAAAGCCTCCTCAGCCAGCCATACCCAGGAGTATCTTAGCCCGAGTGGCTCAGGATGAGAAAATCCAGTGGGGGCTTGCCAGGCAGGCCTAGGAAGATGGCTCTTCACCCCCGCTCACCTAACTCTCCAGACAGGCACATGGTCCATCTTCCTCTGAAGCTACCTCTTCCAGGGTAAAGGAATAAGCTCCCAAGTGACAGGCACTGATCCTGAAGGGGTGAGAGATTAGCTCTGGATGTGGAGGGAAGAGGAACAAGTGCCATCCACTGGGCCACCCATTTCCCCTCCTGCCACTTAAACGAACAAGGCAGACACAGACTAAAGCTTAGTAATTGTGGACAGAGCAGTTGTTACTTCTCGGGGTAATGAATCATTTGAGGAAAACTATCTACTTGAAAATAAAAATAAAAATAAAAATTTCAAAAGCATATTTCATTAGCAGCATAGGTATTAGAGAAAAAGGACCAGGAATTTAAAATAAGTTTAATATATTAAAATAAGTAAGGAAGAACATAAGTAATATGAAATCAAAGATGATATAAAAAAGAGGTATTACAGATAAGATGGAGGTATACTTGGCTTCCTGCTTGAGCCACAGGTTGGGACCTCTGCACCTCCTGCGGGAGCACTGTTGGATTCTACCTTCCCGCCCGTGCACACCCTGGAGGGCAGCACGACCATGCAGGTAACCGTGAGAGAGCCAGGACTAGCACCAGACCAGACTAACTCCATCCCATAGCTGCTCGCCAGCACGTTCACACTACGGCTGCTCGAAAGCACGCACACACTGGGTAAAACAGGATGGAAGTTCAGTTGAAACAGTATTTGCCAGAGGACTAGAGGGAAAAAACAAAAACAAAAAACAAGAGCAGTGATTGCCAGGGGATAAGTCTCCAGCAGCATGAAGGGCTTTCTCGGTGAGATGGAGATGGGACAGTTCCATTTTACAAATGGGAAGCTAGTTTTACAAACCTATGCATGAGATAAAAATGGCACAGAGCTGCACACACACACACAAATGCAATGGAAGGCAAAGGAAAAAGCCCTGACACCAACAGAAGCTGAACACTGAGTCAGGCTCATAGTCTCGTTAGCACCAACACCAACAGTCACTCCTGTGTTGACATGGTGTTGCAGCCATGTAGGCAGCCAACCCCGGAGAAGGCTGACAGAAGCACATATCAGACTTCTAGGTAAGTATTTAAACTTCATATTAACTATATCACAATAAGAATCTTTAAATGAGGAAGATGGATGATATAATCAATGAAATAGTGTTTCTCCAAACATAAAGCAACCAATAAAACAGACCTCAAGTTCACATTATGCAGTAAAATTCTAGGAGACATAAAGACCGGAACGCTTGGAAGGATTAAGAGATTTTTATTGTGTCAATATCTTAAGATGTCTTAGAAAGCACACATCATAAACGAAAACTTTGATAATTAGACCTTACTTGATTAAAATCCTGTGTAATGGGAAGAATCAAGATGGAGGAATAGGGTAAGGACACATTTAAACAGACGGAGAAACATTTAATCAGGATGAAGCAGAGAGGACATATTCCAGGAAATAGGAGAAGACAGAACAACAGCAGAGGGGTACCTGGACACTGACAGACACAGGAAAGCAGCAGACAAAACAATATGGTGTTGCAGTGACTGATACCCCAGCAGCATTGAGCAAGTGATGATCTGAACTCCAACCAGCAGCCGGAACTCCATCAGCAACCAGGTGGGAAGGGACTTTCAGTGGGAGCTCAGGCAGTGAACCCAGACAAAGAACAGCCTGTCCTGCTAGGCCATTTGCTTTGATCAGGAGCAGAGACAGAGCAGCAGATCCCAGATGGGCAGTGTGAGAAAAGGGTGGATTTCACAGCCCAGTCAGCCCCCTAGAGCCGAATTGGGTGCCATTTTGTTTAACGAGGCAAGGGCAAGGGAAAGGACTGAGCATATACTGAGCTGGCAGTGAACTCATTTTTGACTCAGTGGACTGCATCAATGTGGCAACCTACAGGTTCCACCCAAGACAGGTCTGGGTAGCCTTCAGACCTGATGGCCAGCAAATCAAGAACTGTAGTAGTGGTATGTCAGGCGCCATTGTGTACATTGTGGCAAAAGCTATAGGACTGCAGGGGACAACAGTGAACTGCACATGTGCTGAGCTCGTGAGAACTCACTGAGTTCCGTGGATTGCACTGGTCCCACAGGAAAATAATACCGACTTTATCATCGTACGAGTCAAAATAGGTCTGTGTGGCCCTCAGACCCAACACCCAACAGGTTCCTGCAAAATCACCACCAACAACAACCTAGCTATATAAGAAACCTGGTGTCTCCCTAATCCTGGGACCTGCTCCAACTGGAAGTGAAAGAAAGGTTGTACAGACAATGGTGCAGCCTCAGAATGGTATCACAGGAGGAGGAGATTGGTGAGCCAGGAGCTGGGGATACCGAGACCATAGTGAAAATATAACATAAGAACCCAAATCTTGAATTCACTGGAAGGGAGTGGCACAAGTGACTACAACAAAGAGCCGTGTACCAACTGCAATAAGTAAAATCAAACTGTAGACCTGTGGAATGCACAGCTTAGAAACCTGCTCCAAGGAGAAGACTCTGCTAACCAGAAGTACAATGACCAAGAGCAAAACAAGAGGCAAACACACAATGAATATTAATGAAAACTCCCCTGCAATGGAGCAAAACCCTATCCCAACATAAGAGTTCACTGAGGAAGATATGGAGAAATGGGAGACACAGAATTCAGAAAACTCATTTTAAAGCTTCTGATCAACAATGAGAAGCATATACAAGAGTTCAAAGAATTTAAGGAATATTTTACACAAGCAATAGCAGTAATAAAGCAAATCAAGGCTGATATGTCAGAAATTAAAAACACAGTAGAGCAAATGAAAAGTACAGTGGAGAGTCTCCAAAATAGAATGAAGCAAGCAGAAGAAAGAATCTCAAAATTGGAAGATATTTCCTGTCACCAGGGGGAAACAAACAAAAAGCTGGAACCAGAGCTGGATCAGGCCAAAAAAAGTATTCAAGAGTTGAAACACACTATTAAGAGGCCTACTATAAGAGCTATGGGAGTCCCAGAAGGTGCAGAAAGAGAAGCTGGGTTTACAAATATATTCAATGAAATAATAACTGAAAATTTCCCTCACCTAGAGAAAGAATTGGGAAACAAGAACCAGGAGGGGCACACAACTCCCAACAGACTTGACCAAAAGTGATCTACACCACGACACATGATCATCAAGCTCTCTTCAACTAAACCTAAGGAAAACATCCTTAAATGTGCATGTGAAAAAATTCAACTGACATATAAAGGAATTCCAAAAAACTCACAGGAGACCACTTACAGAAAACTCTACAGGCAAGAAGAGAATAGAGTGACATATTCCAGATTCTAAAAGAAAAAAATTGTTGGCCCAGGACAACATATCCAGCAAAGCTTTCCTTTGTCTTTGAAAATGAAATAAAATTCTTCCACAGTCAAGAAAAGTTAAAAGAGTTTGCCTTTCCCAAACCTGCCCTACAAAGGATACTTAAAGATGTTCTCTTGACAGAGAAGAGGAATAGTGCCCACTGAAACCAAAGGCAAAAGCGAAGAACATCCCAGTAAAATAACAATAGAAGACTAAGTCAATGAACAACCCATTCCTAAAATGACAGGAACAAATTACCACCCATACATATTAACCTTGAATGTAAATGGCTTTAACTCATTAATCAAACGTCACAGATTAGTAGATTGGATTAAAAAACAAAACCCATCTATTTGTTGCCTACAGGAGACACATTTCTCCAGCAAAGATCAGTGGAAACTATATTGCATGGGTTTTGATGGTTTCTGTTAGCTTCATCTCTTCAAACACTTTTTTCTGATTGAGTTCTTCGATGACTCACAGATCATACAGTAGCATCTTTTTCAGCAAGAAGGTTCTTGATTTTCATTTCTTCAGCAACATGTTGGTCGTTTAGTGGCATGTTATTTGACTTCATGGTGTTGTTAATTTCTTTTTCCTCCCTGATATTGATGTTGTTTTGTGGCTCTTCATTTAAGAGGATGTGTAGTAGTTGTGTAATGGAGACTGTCATATCTAGTAACATGTTATTTAACTTCATGGCATTGCAAATTTCTATTTTTCTTTCTATTGTTGATTTTGCATTATGACTTTTCATCTGAGGGGATGTACAACAGCTGTGAAGTGGAGACTGACATATCCAGATGTGAGGATACAACGTAGTATGCATCTCTACTTCCAGACAAAAATGGACTTACAATGAGGCTGTTTATTATGTTGACGATGGGATGTTGGACTCTGCCATCGTCCATGCCCGCAATAGTGGACATATGACTGTGTATTAGGAGCTATACTTCAGTAATAATATAGAGGAACTAGGTGGGGGGGGGGATTGGGGCTGGGATAAGGGAAACACCAGGAGCCTATGGAACTGTATCATCAAATGATAATAATAATGTAAAATATGAAAAAAATTTAAAAATCACACACACACAATCCTGTATAACAAAAGACACAAAGACACAAAGGTGAAAGACAAAAAGCAAAGTTGTTCCTGGAACACAGGAAGCTGCAGAGTTCCCGAACAGACTGCCCCTGGGATCTCCTTGACTGGGACCCACTGACACCAGAGCCTGAATTCTAACCTACAGGGCTGTGGGGTGAGAGACATGGGATGTTTTAAGGTGTGGGATGTGTGGCTGCTTGTTCCCTCAGCAACGGGAAATGACCTACCTCTGTTGATTCCCATGTGTGGGGCACCAGTGGCAGGGACTCCTGGGACAAGGTGGCTCCAGCCAGCAGCCGAAGGTCTTGGCGCTGCTCTTGTTTCAGTCCTGCCTTGGCAGTGTTCTCTGTCAACGACACAGAGCTAACATTTTACTTTGGCAGAAAACGGTAACGTTTTTATATCAGCTCCCAATTTTAAGACTCGTTTTACCTCCCTAATCCATCCACATCATCCAGTGGTTTATAAGTTTCAATTACTTCCACATAGCTGTTTATCATACTTGTCAAGTTCAGACATTTACAAAAACAACTGCAACTTGAGTCCTTTCTCACATTCACAACTCTATTATACTTATATTATCTGATACATCTTCCTTAAGAATAAAGTATAAAATGGTAAAAAGTCTGAAAATATAAAAATTATTCAAGTGAAATTTTAGCAACAAAGGCAACCATAATTATTCTAATTGTTTAAACGCACTTACTATTGCAGTATTTTCACCTGTTTCAAGAGAAACTGATTAGAAATGCATATATTATTTGACAAGAATACACTTTCAAAGTTTTGATGATAAAACATTCACCAATGAAAATAAACTTTTGTTTGTATATTTTTGCTGAATTTAATATTTTTGTGGTCTTAATATTCTTTTTTTGTTAATGTTAATTATTAATACCAATATTAAAAAGTACAACTCTTTTTTATGAAGCACTCTTTTATTATCGTGTATTCTAAGAGTCATATAAAAGCAATTCTTACAGTGATAAATGCAGTTATCTGGGGGTACATAAAGACTTTCCAAAAGCTAGGTAGGCACCGGTAGTTTCACAGGAACCACTTCTGAGATCCACCCTCTCACATCTTCTTTCCCGCAGCTTCAGGAGGCCTTAGGCTAGTTCTTCTGTCTCATAAGTACCTGTCTCCCACGTTATAGCAGAGCAAGCAGTGCTGACGGACAGGACAGGCCCTGTTCCTGAGGTTACACAAAGGAGTTTTCCAGTTTGTCCTGTTCGGCTTGGACGTCCCTCAGGTAGGGCACAGCCAGAGCACAGGGGGTTGTTGTCCACGGGTGACTTGGTTCAGAGTGGCTCCGAAAGAGCGTGGGGACCCTCAATGTCCCTGGCTTTTCACCTCTAACTTGGTCACACACGCATCATTCCTGAAGATTTCTTGGAGGCAAAGCAGGAGACATGCCATGAAGTCAACAACCCAACAGAAGCCAACAAGGGAGAGCAAGAAGCGTGAAGACAATCGTGATATTTATTTACACATTCATTAGGGGAAAGATGTTTTCTGAGAAACTTGATATATCATTTGGCTAGTTGTCTTGATAATGAGGGTTGGCATTGACAAGTAGGTAAAAATATAAATATTTTCTAAAAAGTGAACAAACCAAATCTGCAGTTTTCCTTATGTTTATGACAACACACTTAAAACACAAAAATTACCTGTTAAAAAGCATTACTCAACAGATAGGTGATGCAATTAACATCTTAATTTTTTTCATGCTTTTGAGTATACTGGATTAAAGTAAAACAGCTTTAATTCAGTTACTTGATAAATTTTGATATATATTTTTTGGATTATTCCAAGAAATTGCATAAATTACTCCCAATGATTATTTAACACATTATTTTCTAAGTAGTTTGTTTCCAATTCTCTGCATTTAACAACACTTTAGAAAAATCTAATTAACAGCCAATGAGAGATTAAAAACCTTTTTTTACAAATCACTGTATAATTTCTGGTATATTACTTGGAAGGAATTCATAGAATTGATTGGCACTGCTATAATAAAACTCCCTCTAGTTCCACCTACAATTTCTGTGAACAGACTTTCTTAACATTTACATCGGTAAAAATGTAAAGCAGAAACAGAAATACGTTGAAACCTGCTCTTATCTAACAATAAGTAGTATTATGTTTTACAATAAGATATGTGGGTATCTCATAAGACCATGTTTTTCTATAAGCTTTATGCTGGATAAGTATTTATAAGAATTTATAATAATTAGTTTTGACTCATTGTTTAATAATAATTATAAAGAGAAGTCAATCTAGGAGAAATATTTTACCATGTAAAACCTTTGGTCACAAATTATTTTAGAAAGTAATTTTAATTTACATACAGATTTGATATAAAGAAGACTTTCAAACATAAACTATTTTATATTGAGAGAGTGGAGCTACGGCATAGCACAAGATGCCTCTACTTGCAGCTCTGACATCCCACATGGGCACCAGTTCAGGTTCCAGCTGAACTGCATCTGATCCAGCTCCCAGCTTGTGGCCTGGAAAAGCAGTGGAAGATGGCCCAAGTCCTTAGGACCCTGCACCCATGTGGGAGACCCAGAAGAAGTTTCTGGATTCTGGTTTTGGACTGGTCTAGCTCTGGCCATTGCAGCTGCTTGGGGAGTGAATCAGCACACAGAACATTTTCCTCTCTGTATATCTGACATTCCAATAAAAATAAAAAAATCTTTAAAAAATAAACAAAATCAATGGCACAAAACCTTCAAGGGACTAGGGAGTTGAGTCTAATACACAGACTTGTAGGAAACAGAGAACAATTTTATGTTATAGGTTCTTGAGTTAACAAATCTGCAGGCAGGAAAAAAAAAATAATGTGTACCACAAAATCAGAAAGAGCCTCAAATAGAGAGAGCCGAATTTGAACAAGCCTGTGAAGCATTACTGGGATTCCAAAAAATTCATGAGAGAGCGCGTGCCAAGCAGCAAGGACTGTGTAGGCAAAAGGCGGCAAGCAGCGGAGATGCCAGAGATCTGAGTCACAAGAACGTCTCATTTACAGTCACAGCTTTTCATTTGTTATAACTTCACAGGAAGATGAGTAATTAAAATGGTCTTATTTTGAGCCCAAAGACTGTAATTAATACTGGCAAACAGTGTGACACCGGGCTGAGATCATCCAACTGTTTGGATTTAATCAGGAACTTTATTACCCCTCTTCCAGCATCCAGCAGCAAAGTATCTCTGAAATGATATGGACTTGACTTTTAGACACTGCACAAGTAAATTAATAAAACATATCAGAACATCATTCTAATTCAATCATGAGTGAAATACAATAGGAAGAATTGAGAAGGAAAAACACCTTATATATTTGGTGATGCATTTTAACCTTAATCAACTAAAATGCTACGTATGACTATCTTACGGAAAAACTAGAAAGGCAGTTATAACACAGTGAGTCTGCGGAACTTCACTTGGCTTTTAACATCAGCGAAACACTGGAAGTAAGGTGTGCTTAATTAGACTACGTTAGACCAAGTGACATTTACTTGTTCTCCTTAGTGGAAACGAAATCCCTCTGATATCATAGGCTATTTGTCAGTTGAGACTCGAGTCACAAGCCAAGGAAGGCTAGCACGTGAACGAGAAAAACGAAGACGCCACAGGGAACATGTTGGTGAGTCACCCTGAGATAAGTGCTTAGCTATCAAAGCAATCTCACCGAGCTGCCCCCTCGCAGATAACACGGCCAGGCAGGACTGGTAAACCAGGGATGTGGCTTAGATGAGATACACGGCACTCAAACTGTCAGACAGTAACAAGACAACAGCAATTTTGGGAATGAATGTTCTGGAAATCAAATTTCCAAACTGTTCAGTTTGTTATCCAGCATCTACTAACCACTGTTGCTATCAACTGGTAATGCCCACCCAGGTATAATTTAAGTAAATGAGGCTATTTACTTAGCAAAATTAATTTTTAGAAACTAATTAAATCCCTCACAGAAATATTCAGTTGGCTGAAAAAACCAGACAAAATACAAAATAACTTTTATCACGATTAAGGTTACATCTTGACTCACATTTCTTTATCTGGGAGCATAATTACACATAAACATCTTCAGGTAATTTATATTTGTCCTATTTTTTAACTTTTAATTTTATAATAATCTTAAATTTATAGGAAAGCTGCACAAATAATACAAAGAACTCCCAACATTTTTCATCCAGAATCAGTTGTTAACATTTTGTCCCTTTTGCTGCATTAGTTGCTCTCTGTCTCTTTCACTGCATGCACACTACTGCTGAGTTGTGCTCGCTTTGGCAGCACATACACACTACTGCTGAGTTGTATTTTAAACCTAGGAAAAGTCACTGTGAGTTGGGGTCCACATAAGGACCGTTCTGAGAAGCCAATCAGTGAGCAGGCTGGAAGGCAAGATTGGACCAAAGCAGAAACTGACATGCCTGCAGAGGTTCTTCTAGAATCCTTCAAGATGGAACAGCTCTTGGCAACTCCCTTGTCTGGAAGCAAGGGGACTGGCCCATATCCACAAGTCTGGTGTAAGTACCCTCAGCAAGGGACTTATCCTTGGGCAAAAATCCTCTATAGCAGCTGGAAATTCCCAAGGACTCGGGTGAGCTCAGCCCCCATGCTCCCAGCACCCCCGCCCTGAGGGACAGCTGGCCGTACCACAGCAACTGCCCCTACGCTTTCACGTCACTGCTCCGGTTCTAGAGACTCTGAGAGGCATCGGGACAGAACACACAATGTGCACAAACTGTAAATTCTTCTTCAAACGCAAATTTTGAGATTCTTGGGAAAGACATTTAAAAAAAAAGGTAAAAAGAGAATTCTGAGCATATTTTTAATTAAATGTGAAATAGGTAGACAATAAATGAATGAATACATTTTATTGGCAGAGATCTTAAACAAGGTTAAGGTACTTTTATCTTCCCCATTTTGCTAAAAATATCATGTAAAATTTGAGACAACTCCAACTGTTGTTAGTTAAGAATAGTGGGGACCAGGAAGAGTCATAGACTTTGTTAAATGCTCAGCTCCAGGAACAAAAAAGAACAGTACTGCAAAAGCAGGTTTGAATCGCCAGTGGTTGATTCCTGAATTAAGGAAGAAGAGTAAAACTGCAGCATTGAATTACCATCATTTAACACTTAATGTTATTATAAGTCAAAACTAATAAAAAAAAATTTATGATAGCAATCTGAGATGGAAAAAGATGTAACTGGGAGTAATTTTTAGAAGAAAGACAAAGAAAGAACTGTGGTCAGGAAAAGAAACAAGATCTAGGACATCTCCTCTTTCCCCGAGTTACCCCGGCGGCTGCCACGACGGTGAGACCGCTCATCA